GGAAACCGGTCACTAGTGCACTTGTTAATTAGTGTTGGTTTTGCCCGTGACTGCAGTTTGCTTTGTTTCTGAAGCCCTAAACGGAGCGCCCAACCAGGCGTGCGGTTTCCGACACCCTCGCTGCGGGGAAACGTCTTGTTTTTCCTCCTTTTTGAGGAACCTGAAGGACGTTACTTTTCCGCCTGCGGAACTGTAAGACCCGGGCGAGAGCCGCTGATGTGTTTTTTCTGTTGCGGGGTTAGTCCGCGCTGGGCGGCCGCGTCTCGTCTCTCTTTGCCTGCTGGCGTGAAACCCCTGTTTCTTCGGCGAGTGTCGGGGAGCTTCCTAGATCTCACGGGGGACAGAAACATCCGGGGAGTGAATATGGAGTGAGTGTTTGGATTATCCCGCTTGGTGAAGGGGGAACACGTTCACAGCGCATCTCCGAGCACTGCCGTCAAGCCCTCTTCGTGCCGTAACGCGGTATCCCAAACATTGGCACGACAGTGTCGTAACCACCCAGCTCGCATAGCTGTGCTGATCTGACAGACCCGGGGTCACAGGTCACAGGGACTTGAACCCCACTCAGAGAGGGGAGACTGGGTGTCACAGGTCACAGAGCTTGAACCCCACTCAGAGAGTGGAGACCAGGGGGTCACAGGTCACAGACTTGAACCCAACTCAGAGAGGGGAGACAGGGGTCACAGGGACTTGAACCCCACTCAGAGAGGGGAGACCAGGGGTCACAGGTCACAGGGACTTCAACCCCACTCAGAGATGGGAGACTGGGGGTCACAGGTCACAGGGACTTCAACCCCACTCAGAGAGAGGGGAGACTGGGGTCAGAGGTCACAGGGACTTGAACCCCACTCAGAGAGATGAGGTGTTGGAGTTCAGTACTGGAGGCTAATTCAGTCATGATGGTGGGGAGGAGCAGCTGTGTGTGTGTGGGACCTGTCCTGGTTCTCCTCTCGAACTTCAGGTAATAACTGTTCACAGTGAGCCGTTTCTCTGATATACTGTGTGTGAGTTCTTCACCATGTCTCTGTGACCGATGTTCTCTGTAACCTTCCGCTTCAGTGTTACTGTTCTTTCTTCTGTCAGCATTGTGTCTCAGTTCTGTTGTACAGATATCACTAAGAAGTGCTGTTATTGCTCTCACCTGAAGAAGCTCCACAGCCGAGACATTGTGTTTTCTTTCTTCTCTTTTCAGCAGGAATAAACGCTTTACTTGTTCCTTGTTATAAAGTGTGTTGTTACCCAGGACGCCGTGTGCTGTATCACTGTCGATCAGTCCTGCTGTCCTCACTGATTATATGTAAATAATCATTTATTTAATTTACTTAATTATTCCATTGTAGGAAACTTTAAGTGTTGATAGTTATAACCTGATCATTGTAAATCAGTGGACAGTGAGTGTTTTACACAGAGGGTGGTGGGTGTGGGGAACAAGCCACCCAGCCCTGTGGTTGAAGCCGATACCCTGGCTTCTCTCCAGACACAGCTGGGTGAGCTCCTCCAGTCAGGACAGGAGGCTCT